TTGGCAAGATCACAGTTTTCCTAAAAGTATCAAATTGAGACCAAAAATTGCATCAAATCTTTGCAACGTTTTGATGCACATAAGTTATATCAAAAAGAGATCGTTTTGTGTATCATTTTTGGAAATGATACACGAAACAGTCTCATTTTTTGATGCAAAAAATTTAATCAATTTATATCAATCATGGCCGTATTAAATCGACTCAAAATTAAACGAATTTTTTTCAGATATTTTGGTAATAGTACAATTGCGGAGACCATTTCACTATTTAATTTGAAAATGAAAATAACAGAAAATCAAAGACAATGTGCAATTCGATAATTAAAAAGTGACAGCTTATAAACATAACCTAAAATGCATGAGAAAAAATTTGTCGATAAAATCAATATAGCCGAGCATTTTAGAAGGTAGATGGCAGTTTTGCTTTTTATAAAAACGATTCAGAAAAAATTTAAAGAAAGAAAATAGATGAGTGCTGCCATCTACCTTCTAAAAAGCTCGGCTATATTGATTTTATCGACAAATTTTTTCTCATGTATTTTAGGTTATGTTTATAAGTTGTTACTTTTTAATTATCGAATTGCACATTGTCTTTGATTTTCTGTTATTTTCATTTTCAAATTAAATAGTGAAATGGTCTCCGCAATTGTACTATTACCAAAATATCTGAAAAAAATTCGTTTAATTTTGAGTCGATTCAATTCGGCCATGATTGATATAAATTGATTAAATTTTATGCATCAAAAAATGAGACCGTTTCGTGTATCATTTCTAAAAATGATACACAAAACGATCTCTTTTTGATATAACTTATGTGCATTAAAACGTTGCAATAGAAAAAGATACAACCAAGTTTACTATGATTTTATTAAAAAAAAAATTTTTTTTAAACTTATTTTTTTTTGTCAAATTTCTTACATTTCAAAGTTTTGCAAAAGTATGGGAAGAATATGGGATGCAAAAATAATTAATTTTTTTTTAATTTACTTTTTTTCGTTAAATTTTCTATACTTTTGCAAAACTTTGAAATTTAAGAAATTTGAAGAAAACAAATTAGTTTTTTAAAAGAATTATTTTTTTTATAGACTTTGACAAAAGTTTGAAATTTGAGAAATTTGACGAAAAGAAGTAAATTTTTGAGAAGAATTAATTATTTTTGCATCCTATACTCTTCTCATACTTTGCTAAAAGTATGGGAAATGATCGTAATCCATACTTTCCTATAATTTGCCCATACTTTCATTTTTATGCGGGCAAAGCTTGTTTGGAAAATTACAGTATTTACATTACATTTAACATTATTTTGGATGCAAAATTATTGAAATTACCTTCTTCATGTATTTCAATTGTCGAAATGTCTTTTTCTTTTATTTTGAATTCTCCTTTTGTATCTGCTTCTTTTTCCTTATTTACCTCTCCATTGTCATCTATCCATTCATCACCCTGTAAAAATAATTTTAATTACAACTGTAATATGTACTACTAATTCAAATTAATAAAGAATATTAGACAGAACTACTAAAAATGTAAATAGGTATATTCTAAATGTAACAGATTGAATTCAATTCTATGAACTATACATTTTCACCATGCCGATAATAATTGAGATCACACGTCAGAATTTAATTTCCGAATTCAGAAATCCGCTCTATTCATCTATATCCTTTTCTTGGACTCAATAAACGGTCCAATTAGAGAAAAATGAACCTCCCAATTCTCTCTTGTATAAGGTTTCTTTCACATTTATTTGTTTTTATCTATCTACCTACCTCATATCCTTTCTTTAGAGACACCTCTTCATCTACCTCAACATTTGTAGATAAATTATCAAGTGTACTCTCTACAAAAGTCCTTGGCATTATAGGAGGTTGATTTTGCAAATTTTTTTTCTCTATCCATTTTTGAAGAGCCTTCCATTCTCCAATACTTATCATTTCTGATTCTAGAGATTGAAACAGATAAATTTTATTAATTATAATTATTCTAAAGGATTTTTATAGTCAAAATAGTTTTACATTTGACCACTTGAGGACATATCCTTTTTTAGAAAACAAAACATACCTGTATGATAAATATAACATTCAACGACTTCAAGTGTTATGTTTTCTCCTTCTACTGATACTATAATTTTGGCGTTTGGATGCCTTCTATTAAATCCAAACATTAAATTTAGGTTACACCACAACTTCTCCAATAATAATTCATCTGTAATAATACAGTAAATTATGAGAATTCGCAGTTTGGCATTAAAATAATAGCGTTGGATTTTATTTTAATATATAAAAATTTACTTTTGAGTTTAATTGATTATTTGACATTTTAATATCTCTAAGATGAAAATGTAGTTTTAATAAAATACAAAAAGGCGATTGAAAGAGAAAAAAGAAAGACATATGCTCCCTTTTTCACTTTCATTTTGGCGTCTATTCTCGTGATGCATTCGAGCTAGACTTCACGAGAAAAACCTAAACGATCACGTACTTGTTCAATTGTTAAAAAATTATTGTTAGGTGTTGTTTAGTTTGGACAGATTCTCGTTAAGGACGTTGGAGTATTAATATTGTTTCCCCTAGGACTGAAAATATTCCAAAAAGACATTTTACTGCGGCCCTGCATGGGGAAAAAATAGTTTTTTTTCTAAAAAATGATTTACTACAATTTACTGAATAATTATAATAAAGTTTAGTTAACCACTTGAGCATCATGGCGTTCCAACTGGCGTCACAAGTGGCGGTGGCAGAAGCGTCAAAAATGCGTAAATGGGGTTCCTATTTGAATTCAATTTGTAAACTCCGTAGACGTATTTAAATAACCAAAACGTATCTTTCATATTTTTTGAGATCAAGAAAGACGACTGCGCCAGGAAAAAATTATTTTTTTAAACGTTCAAATGGATTTTTTGAATTTTAAAATCAACAGTTTCAGTACTTTTTGCGAAAGGCGTTCTAATATTTTTTCGACTTTAATAAGCGAAAAACCATTTGAATGTGGCATTTTTGTGGCACAGTCTTCTTGACCTCAAAAAATATGAAAGATATGTTTTGGTTATTAAAATATGTCTACATCCAACTGAAAAAATCAGTCTAGTTTTTCCACACGGAAATCCATGAGGAGATTTGAAACAATCCACATTTAAATCCACATGTAAATTTCTTCATTTTCTTTATTTTGAAATATTTTCAAAAATGAACATCAAATTCGAATTCTGAATTTTCACTCACTATTTTCCGCATTTTTAAAGAGGTTCTCTTTCATATTTTGTGTATATTAAAAATATATAAAAATTCATGCGGAAATCCACATGGAAATCCAGACGGATTCCATGTGGATATTTTGAAATCTCCAAACGAATTTCCGCATGGAAAATAAGTGTGAAAATCCAGACGGAATTTTTCAGCTGGGCAGACTTTACAAATTGGATACAAGTAGGAACGCCATTTATGCATTTTTGACGCTTCTGTTACCGCCACACGTGACGCCAATGAGAGTAAAAATGTTATTTTTTAGTGTTTAAAAAAATAATTATAATAAATTTTAGTTTTTTATTGAAATGATTTTCGAGAGTGCAAATAAACCAGTTTTACAAGTACATAAGTAATCATTTTATGTAGAAAATACTTACGGTTTTGTAAAAAATGTGAGGGTAAGAGCACACCCTACCGGAAGGCTGGTACTGGATTGGTACTGGGAAATTGGAACTGAGATCTCAGTACCAACTCAGTACTAATTTGGTGCATTTTGGTACTGAAATGGAACTGGGAAATTTACCTGCGAAAAGGGTCGAGTTACCGTTAATACCCTCATAAAAGTGAAAAGCGACTAGCTTTTTCAATATGTTTAAACTAAAACTTTATATTTTTTTCAATATTATATTTGTTTTTCATGGATTTATATTATTTTCATACATTATTATGCATATGATATTTCCTTTGTCAGCTAAATTCAAAAATGATGTCCATTTTTTTATCAAACTTAAGGTATACGAGATAAATTATAACTTTTTTAAATGTAATTATTTTATGATAAATTTTAGATATTCATAATCTGGAAATATTAACGAATCTGAATATATATTTTTTAAAGTTGAGTTATTAAAATTACAAATTTTTTAAGCAATAAAACTCGGGTTAAAATTTTAATCCTTCAACAAAGGACCTAGGGGTCTATTGTTCAAGGAGGGATTGCAATATAATTTTCAAACTTAACAGAAATTTTCTACAAACTATTATGTTTTTTTTTTGCTGTTTTACACGTATATCGTGAGAGACGGTTTGTTGATCTTATATACCTTTAAAACTATTGTTAAAGTACTTTAAAAATGTCTTCTTATGGGTTATCAGGTAGTGGTACTGAAGTGGAACTCAAGCCAAGTCCAATTCAGTACCATTCCAGTACCACTCTTTCGGTAGGGCATTATCAAACGCTGGCTCTATATACCTAGGTTAACGTAAACTGATATCCAAAACTATAGCTACGCGAAGTGTAAATACACTTCATCCTCGTCATGAAAATTGGCGCAAAATGCAAAAATACAAATTCAAAGATATACAATAAAAAAATAGTAATAGACGAAGTGTATTGGTAATATGCAATGGTTTTTTTAATTACATTTTGAGAATTTAAAACTTAATAAAATTTATTTTAATTTAATTAATTAGAAATTTTCATACAGTAATAATTTTAATAAATTTATTTTAACCAACGTATTTGGGGGCCATGTACAAATTACGTAAGGTTTCTTTTTTGGTATTTTGACCTCACCTCCCCACATGTAAGGCACTATTGCAAACGTCTTTAGTACCATACTTTTGATGGTCCTAAGGAATAGCTACAGACTAAAAATAAAATAAAATTGATAATATCGTTATTAATTAATTAAAATTAATTGAATTGAGTATTTGAAAAGTCAGATATTTTTAGAGGATTGATGATTTATATTGTAATACTTAATTAATTTCGGTGAATGAAAAGAAAATAGGACAATAAAATAAGAATAATAATTGCTTTTCTTTATAAAACTTGTTTTATTTTCCTTTCAATACAGTAGCATAAGGAAGATTTTACAATAGAATTATTTTATTCATTTTTATCAACACATTGATTAACATTAACTGAATTTTTAAATTTTAATAACGAGAAATAATTAAAAAAGAAGCAAGACTTTTTCTTTAGTAAAAATTTCAGTCTAATGCAATTAAATTAAACAAATAATAATAGTTAATGGGAAGAAAAATTAAAACAGAACCAAGATATTTATGTGGTGCAAATTTCAGTCTAACGCATTTAAATTAAACAAATATTAAAAATAGTTAATAGGAAGAACAATTACAACAGAACCAACACTTTTTCTTTGGTGCAGATTTCAGATTGACACAATTAAAGTGATACCACTAAAGACAACTTTCGCATACAATACTCATTTCTGTATCAGAAGATACTTTACATACTTCGCAAAGCCATTTCTTACTTTTTAATTTAATTTCAACAGTTTTCATTAAACCCTGATATGCAGTTTTAGTCATATAAGGTATTAATAGTTCTAAATCAACTTCTTCGTCGTAAATCGAGTGCTTTATAAATTCTGGTCGCATTTCAAGGTCTGTTTCTTCAACTAAATAATCGCCATTTAAAGCTGCAGTTAACTGGGCTTTCGATATTAAACTTAAAATAACAATTTAAATAACAACTTAAAATAACACCAACTTTTTCTGTTTCTTTAAGAAGTCTAAATGAAGTTAGAATTTTTACTTGACGATTTTTCCTTAATCCAATTGCGACTGTAGTTTCACTATGTTTTGGACGTCCACGTCTTTTGATAGTAGTTGGCCATTTAATATCATCTAAAGCATCTTTTTCTAAAGCTTCTTCAAAATTTCTACAGTATCACGCAAACATTGAAGCCCAATTGCAAAGTAATCCAAAAGCTTTTTGGAGTCATATAAATAAGTCTAAGAAAAAACCACGTATACCTGATCAACTTCATTATAAAGATATTGTTTTGAGTGATCCACAAAGTGTCGTTAATGGTTTTGCAACCCACTTTGCTTCAGTTTACAATCCCTCTACTTTTAATAATGACCTCCTAAATTTTTACATAAATCCAAATTCTTCTTTACTTTATCAATTATCTAGCAACGAATTATTATAAGCTATAAAATCTCTTAAACCAAAGTTAACATCAGGTACTGACGAAATTCCTAGCTTTATCTTAAAAGATTGCAGTTTTATATTGAGTGACATCTTATGTCAAATGTTTAATAGAATATTACAAACAGGTTACTTTCCAGAAATCTGGAAATATACTAAAGTGGTTCCAGTTTATAAGAGTGATAATGTTGAAAATATCCTAAATTATTGACCTATCTTTATTATTTCTAATTTTGCAAAAATTTTTGAAAAGTCAATTCTTAAAACCTTAACCAATGCTTTTTCTTATGTTGTTTCCCCTAACGAACACGGTTGCATTGCAAAACGATCAACTTGCACTAACCTTCTGTCTTTAATTAATTTTATAAATCAAGCTTTGCAATCGGGCTCTCAGGTCGACGTTATTTACACAGATTTCTCTAAAGCTTTCGATAAAGTTGATCATGAAATTTTATTTTCTAAATTATTAGATTTACATTTGCCTAGTAACGTTATTAAAACGCTCTTTTCTTATCTAACTAATCGTAATTGTTTTGTTCAATATGCTGGTTTCTCTTCCCCCCCTTTTACCCCTACTTCTGGAGTACCGCAGGGTTCTACACTTGGATCAATCCTTTTTACAATTTATATTAATGACGTCGTCGAAATTATTGTAAATAATTCACTTTTTGTTGACGATTTAAAAATTTATTCAGTTATTAAGTCTGATGCAGATTGTCGTACTTTACAAAAAACATTATTAGTTTGCTCCAATGGTGTAATATAAATAAATTTGATCTTAACCCGTCTAAATGTTACGTTGTAACATTCGCTATTTCTAATAATGTCTTGCTTTTTGATTACAAGGCTTCCGATGATTTGATTCCTAGGAAAAATATTATTCGTGATTTAGTAATTACTTTCTCATCCAATCTATCCTTCTCTAACCATATACAAATAATTTATAAAGAAGCGTCCAGATCTTTGGGTTACCTTATTCGATCAACCAAACATATTAAGTCAGCTGACATTTTAATTCTTTTATTTAATACGATCATTAGATCTAAAATCGAATATTTAGCCTTACTTTAGGACCCCATCTATGATAAAGATATTTTAATGTTTAAAGGTCTACAAAAACGATTTTTAAAATATTGCAATTTTCAGAAATATAATTTTTATCCGCCTAGAGGGTCGGATTATCTGGAGCTTTGTACCAAATATAACGTTGTTACATTGAAAGAAAGACTAACAATCGCCAAATGTAAATTTATATATGCTTTATTAAATTATAAAATCGATTGTTCTGAATTACTTTATATAATTAATTTGAGAGTACCTCGCAAAACCAGTAGAAAGTGGTTACCTTTTAATTTACCGAGGCCTACTTCATCTATAGGTTTTATTTCACCAATGTACGTCATGTGTAATGAATTAAATGAGATTTGTAGTAATGCGCAATCTGACTTTGATTTTTTCAACACAAATATTAGTACCTTTGCTAAACTTATTGTCACCTACATGTTACAGAAAAGATAGGATCACCTCTTTGAGTTTTGTTTAATATTTTACCTTTTTTTGTTCTTTAAACTGTTTCTTTTTTATCCTTTTTTTCTACATTAACTAATACTATTTGGTTATTACTGTATTTTTTATTTTTTTTTTAAATTATATGTTTTTATTTTTATTATCCTTTCATAAATTAATGTATACACATAGTGCCGAAAATGATATTCTTACGGCTGTATTCTTTGGTACAAATAAAAAAAAAAATCAGAATGAACTTTATGTACTGCTATCAAAATACCATTTTCTACAATATAGTCGGCTAAAGTATAATTCGGTGAGGTGTCAGAAGAAATGTGTAATTCAGCACAACTAGTCACAATATTATCTAACTTATTCAAATCTAACATTGCAGCTCCTTTAGTTTTATAGTTTATTGCATATTCTTTTTCATTGGCTTCATTGATTAAATTTTGCTCTACACTTTCGCTAATTTTCTCAGGATACGCGAATAAGGATACGTTCAAGTCCTTTCTCCAATATTCATCCAATTGCTTTAATAATTTTATTTTCTCGTAGTGTCTTTCGTCTGAGCACAAGCCTGTCAATGTTTTAGTTCGAGGACCTTTAATCACAGGAGGAATTTGTTTTACCTCATTATTGTTCTCTTCTATATTAATTACATTATCACAGTTGGTTTCGGTATTTCTAAAATGGTCACGCATAACTCTTTGATTATTTAAATAATATTCTTTGGTGAATCTTTCGTTACATAACAATTTATCAAAAAGAGACAATTTTTCCAATCTTCTTATGACGAAAATATGTCTACAAGACACGATACGATCTACGATCCTCATAACTCTTCAATCACGGTAATTTTTTTGCTGAGTTCCATTTGTTCTTTTATATAGTTATACCAATTTTTTTTGCAAAAATTCAATGTACTCAGATGCTACTCCGTAATCTTTGACTGACTTTTTCAAAACTTGATCAGCAGCTTTGTGATCTTTGTTGTATCTATGACAATTGAGCCATATCATAAAACTGTGAATAAATAATGTTATATTGCTGTTTTTCTTTACAGTTTGGTTAATTTTACCATTTATGCTTTCCAACTTATTGTTAGTAATATGTCCAGCATTTCCTACTGTCATGTTGTGAACAGTCCACTCAGACTTTATGGAGTGCCAAATCTTATTAAAATATTCTAAAACTGACTCAGGGACGAATTCACAAAATGAGCTATAAATTTCATCATAATCTTCCGGAGATTTACTATAAAGTAGTTTAGAGAGAAATTCTAATGACAAGTTTCGTTCACTAGAGGTTTTTTTCATTTTTTCTACTGTTATTTGCCGCCCAAAAGTTTTCAATGTATGCCAAATACAAATGTATAAAACAGTCTCATCAATAAATACTATATATGGCCATGCTGCCACAGTTTCTCTCATGTTGGGTGTAGAAAAATATCGGCTTCATCGTGTAGAATATGAACGTTAGCTCCTACAAGTATTTAAAAAAATGTTAATGAAATTTTTATTTATATATATATGATGTATTCCACGCCAAAGTGTAAGTCCATCTGCAATTGTATCTCCGATTTTTTTTCTTTTAGTACTAATTGAGACTAGCATCCATGAATTTTTTCAAATTTTTTTAGCAAGCCGTTTTCGAGTTATGGAACTATCAAATTTTTGAGTTTTAATGAAAAAAAGTCATTTCTCTCATTTGACGTACTGATCGAATTTTATCAAAATTTTAAAAAAAACTACTTCTTTTTATGAAACTTTTAAGCCTAGTCCGATAATAGGCAAACAATTTTTACAAATTTTTTTTTGGGAATTTTTCAAAAATTTTTGAATTTTAAATATTTTAAAAATATTTTTAGTTTTTTTTATACTACGTACTTTAATGTATTTTGATGCGCTGGTTACGAAAATCATAGTGACAATACCCAAAAATTTGATTTTTATGATGAAAACGACTTGCTAAAAAAATTTGAAAAAATTCGTGGATGCTAGTCTCTATTAGTACTAAAAGAAAAAAAATCGGAGACGGACTTACACTTTGGTGTGGAATACATCATAGTCATATATATATATATATATTTATTTATCCGAGATCCCTTTTAACTCTTTCCTAATTTTACTTTGATTATTTCCCAAGTCTTTATAAGTTAGTCGCTTTCCTGTTTCATCATAAATCTTTTGCTAAATTAGTTCTTATTGCATCCTAATTTTATTAACTCTTTCACCTCCTCTCGTTTTTCCCCTTGAGTCGTCTGACTGGTGCTTGATGTTCATACACTGTCTGAAAATTATAATCATAAAACATATTCTGTTAATTAAAAATTAATGTAAAAAAATATATTTACAGTATTACCTGAGAGAGATCATGGCTGCTGTGATCCATATTAACACTTGTAACAACGAGTTCGTTACCATCCTCAAATGCACGTAATTTAATATGGACATGACAATCCACTTTCGTAGTACTAAAAAATTAAAAAGTCATAAATAAATTAAGCTCTTAATGTAACTAATGTTTATTTGAGCCTGAATTAAAATTACGTGTAATAAAACAACAAATTGAATTACCCTTTGTCTTTCAAACCTTTACTCGTGCAAGTAAACGGAACTCCTCCTGCTATGCATGCTAAATGCAATTCATAATACCTTATTTCAGGATTAAGTTTTTTTTCAAAAATTTTTGGGCTAAAAAGGTTTTTTTTACATTTTATATATTTTACCAGTAGTATCAGGAGATACTAATTTAAGTAAATACTTACGGGTGAATAATTATCTATAATGTAACATGTCACTTATTTTAAAAACTTTCACATTATAATAACTACGCTAGCCGGACTTACGTTCTCAAAGCAAAAAAAATTATGAACATTTCCTTCTTTTGTTCATTTTATAATATTTCAAATTGAAGACGTAATATATGGCCTAAAATTTGTATATTTTCACAAAATTTAAAGGGCACACTACTAACCGAAGCAACGCCTGCGACGGTCACTTTCGGTACTATTGATTATTTTTCACAATTTTGACAATTTATCAGGCTTTCCGTCGGTAATTCATCATCTGTATCACGATAGTACCGAAAGTGACCTAAGCAGGCGTCGGTATAAGGAAAGCAATTAGTAGTTTGCCCTTTAAATTTTCTGAAAATATACAAATTTTAGGCCAAATTCAATTCGGAATATTATAAAATGAACAAAAGAAAAATTAAATGTTCATAATTTGATAATGTAATAATAATTCTCCAACAACCTTAAAACGAGAAATTTGTTTACATTCGTATACTTACTGAAAAAGTAACTTTTAATCCGAAAAGATTTAAACATTTTAGTTAATAAATAATAATATTATGCAAAATATTTATTGCTTTCTTATTAATTTATTTTTAATTTTTATAGTGAAATGATGGTAAGTTTGTTTGTCTGTGAGTTTTAAATGTGAATATGGTAATTAGGTGTCATCTATCGGATATTTATATTAACTTATTCTTATTATATATAAGGTAGAAATTATATAAGAAGGTACCGGCATCATACCCGAGCGGCATGATACGACCTAATTTTTCGGAAAATATGTACGAACTGATTTGTGCAATATCGTACATAAATTGACTGCAGTTAATATAATTTCTACTTTATCACATAAGATAAGAATAAGTTAATAGAATTATCCGATAGATGACACCTAATAACCATCTTTACAATTAATCTAAATAATCATAATTATTAATTTATAGGTTATTTATTGTTTTATGTAATCAATTGCTTTAAAATGTACAAAAAGATTTCTTCAATTGAAAAATATTTACAATTTTTTTAGACATACTAAGAGTTAATAGTTATAAATAAGTAGTCAAATATTATGTACCTAAAAGAACTCAAGCAAAAATTTATTTCTAACCCTGATAGTGACTACATTGACCAATACTGACTGGACAACATTCCAGATTCTACATTCCAGATTCTACATTCCAGATTCTACATTCCAGATTCTACATTCCAGATTCTACATTCCAGATTCTATATTCCAGATTCTACATTCCAGATTCTACATTCCAGATTCTACATTCCAGATTCTACATTCCAGATTCTACATTCCAGATTCTACATTCCAGATTCTACATTCCAGATTCTACATTCCAGATTCTACATTCCAGATTCTACATTCCAGATTCTACATTCCAGATTCTACATTCCAGATTCTACATTCCAGATTCTACATTCCAGATTCTACATTCCAGATTCTACATTCCAGATTCTACATTCCAGATTCTACATTCCAGATTCTACATTCCAGATTCTACATTCCAGATTCTACATTCCAGATTCTACATTCCAGATTCTACATTCCAGATTCTACATTCCAGATTCTACATTCCAGATTCTACATTCCAGATTCTACATTCCAGATTCTACATTCCAGATTCTACATTCCAGATTCTACATTCCAGATTCTACATTCCAGATTCTACATTCCAGATTCTACATTCCAGATTCTACATTCCAGATTCTACATTCCAGATTCTACATTCCAGATTCTACATTCCAGATTCTACATTCCAGATTCTACATTCCAGATTCTACATTCCAGATTCTACATTCCAGATTCTACATTCCAGATTCTACATTCCAGATTCTACATTCCAGATTCTACATTCCAGATTCTACATTCCAGATTCTACATTCCAGATTCTACATTCCAGATTCTACATTCCAGATTCTACATTCCAGATTCTACATTCCAGATTCTACATTCCAGATTCTACATTCCAGATTCTACATTCCAGATTCTACATTCCAGATTCTACATTCCAGATTCTACATTCCAGATTCTACATTCCAGATTCTACATTCCAGATTCTACATTCCAGATTCTACATTCCAGATTCTACATTCCAGATTCTACATTCCAGATTCTACATTCCAGATTCTACATTCCAGATTCTACATTCCAGATTCTACATTCCAGATTCTACATTCCAGATTCTACATTCCAGATTCTACATTCCAGATTCTACATTCCAGATTCTACATTCCAGATTCTACATTCCAGATTCTACATTCCAGATTCTACATTCCAGATTCTACATTCCAGATTCTACATTCCAGATTCTACATTCCAGATTCTACATTCCAGATTCTACATTCCAGATTCTACATTCCAGATTCTACATTCCAGATTCTACATTCCAGATTCTACATTCCAGATTCTACATTCCAGATTCTACATTCCAGATTCTACATTCCAGATTCTACATTCCAGATTCTACATTCCAGATTCTACATTCCAGATTCTACATTCCAGATTCTACATTCCAGATTCTACATTATAAAAAAATATTTTTTAGGCAAAAAATTATAGAATTTTTCATTTTAAAAAATTATTTCTTTAAAAATCGTTTATATAAACGTTGCGTACTTCAGCTTCGTTGAAAACGGTTCTGTACTATCTTCAATATCCGAGATTAAATTTATATTAAATTTTCGATCTTTATAAGATTTCTATTCTTTTACTTTGACATGCCGCTTATTGTGCTATGGTGTTCTGTCATTAAAAAACATCAAAAGTTTTTCTTTTATAATCTTTTTTATACATTTTGCTTCCTCGTGGAGGAAGCTATGTAGTCCTTTCTTTTATAAACTTTTTAAAAATGGTGAAAACAAATTTTCCTCTATATAGAAACATGTTATATGAGATCCTGATCAATTGTCCGGATGTATGTATGTGTGTGTGTATGTGTGTGTGTGTGTATGTGTGTGGATCGTTTTTGTGAACACGATATCTTTAACAGGTTTTAATGGATTTTGATAAAATTTGGTAGGCTTATTTAACACATTAATCTCTCAAAAATGACGAGAGGATTTTTAAAAATACCCCAAAAAAAAAATTTTATCGTCTTTTTTCCAAAAATTTTTTTTTAATTGAAAAAATTTTTAAATCGAAAAATTTAAGGTAATATATAATATAATAGTCTTCTTTATGTCAAGATGAATCGATTGATATATATATAAAGTATAGATCTGATTGAAATTTAAAGAATTAAAGAAAGTTAAAAAATCAAAAATTCTCATTTTAGCTAAAAAATGATGTGTTTATTTAAATTCATGTTTATACAATATGAAATAATTTTATTCCCTGCATTGAAACGAATTGGTTGGTATATATAAAGTATAGATTTGATTTAAAATTTGAGAATTAATAAAAATTGAAAAATCAAAAATTCATATTTTAGCTAAAAAATTTTGTGTTTTTTTTAAATTCAAGTTGATGAATAAAATAATTGTATTCCTTGCATTAAAACGAATCGATTCGTATATATAAAGTTTATGTTACACTCAAAATTAATTAAAATTTTCTTTATTTTTCAAAAAATTTAATTAATTTAAACCATTTTTAACTCGAAATTTTTTAAATCAATCAATTGAATTGGACAAATTCATTGCTTCCTTCACGAGGAAGCGAATTTTTTGCTTCACACAATGAGGAAGCATAATGTTTATGAAATAAACATAAAGGACCCCCTCCTTGTTTATATTAAGAAAAATTCATAAATTCGGTCTTGATCATATTGATATATTTTTAAATTCAATTTTCTGTTATTTTGTTATAGTTTTTCTTATACATATAACATATTTATAGGTTAGGATGTGATAATACCTTTTTCTTATCATCAAAGCAATTTTAAATACCAAGTTTAAAATTCTTTTTAAATAATGTTTAAATTTAAACAAATAATCAATTAATATTTGATAAAGTTAAGTAATTAAAATAATATAAAACACCGGATATTTTAAAATAAGTGAGACAAGTTACATATTTCATACAATATATGCAAATACATATATCATATAAATAAAAAAAATTATTGATTAAAAATTAATAAATAAAAATGAATTATTATTATTTCAGTACTCCCACAGATTTTTTTTTAATTTTACGGATTTTGAACCATTCCTTAAATCTTGTAACCCGTTGGATATTTAAACAGGTATTTTTTTTTTTTTTTTTTTTTATCATATTGCTTAAATCTTGGCATCCATGGGAAAATTAATTTTTAATTTTACTGTTACATCCCAGGAACAAAAATTTTAAAAATATATTAAAAATATATTTTATTTATATAGACATATAGGGTAACGGCACCAGTGAAAGAACATTTAAGGAAATGCATACTTTTATCATTTATTATTTTTGAATGCAGTTATTGAAAATTTTTTTACCAATTTTTTTTCGATAGCTAATTAAGTGTAGAATGCGAAGGTCATATTTAATTTTCATAAATATAAGATGTTAATTAAAATTTTAATTAAATAAGTAAAACATACCTATTTCACCAGTGAAAGAACAAATTGTCTAATGAAAGAATTTTCTGCATCCAGTGAAAGAACGATGTGAAATATATATTTAAAATATATTTAAAAAATATATTAAAACAAAGATAAAGTAATAAAATGTTTGTAATATACTAAAATAAAGGTAAATTAATGATAATTATGAATATTTTTTAACTAAGTTTGCAGAATCTTATTTTTAATTGAAAATGCATTTATAACCTACAATCAATCATCTACTTGCAATTTATTTTGACAATATTATTGTAACCTAACAGTGTTAACCTATTTGATTTTGTCATTTTTTTGTTTGACTTCAGACTATTCGTTGAAGGTGTTCCTTCATTGGATTGCATTGGAACCAGTGAAAAAATATTTCTGTTCTTTCACTAGTAAATAAAAAAAAAACCCCCAATGACGGAATTTGCTTTTCTTATGGCAAATTAATATTTTATTAGCTTTTAAATGAAAAGAAGTATTTCTAATACACAAGATAAATTTAGTTTAAAGAAGACCGACGATTTAAGGCAGTTTAAATTAGTTAAATGTGAAAAAAGAAATAACGTGTCAGAGAAGAGTTCTTATTGTTGAAGATAAATTTGCAACACAACATTTTTAAAAAATTTTTTTTATAAAATTTACGTGTTAACTCAC